AGGAGCTTTTGAAGGCCGCAGGTCAGAGGACCCACGAGAGGGCTAGCGGTGCTGCACTGCTCTCGCATCTTCCAGGAGCTCGAGTTTGCCATGATGTTGTGGCAGCTACTTTGCGCCCCAAGAAGGGCACGCCGTACCAGCGAGGTTGTGCCAAGGCTGTTGCCTGCAATGCCACTTGGACTAGAACCAGAGCCGCCGAAGCAGGATATGCTGTTTGCTCGGTCTGCGAACTTTGTGGGAGTGCGCCTGGTACTATGCTTCATCGGCTTTGGTTCTGCCCAGCGTGTCATGACAAGAGGCAGGTGGTGCTTGACAGTTTCAAGCCAAAGTTTTCCCTTCTGCCTCCGCCTGACCTCACGCCCGAGAACAATGAGGACGACCACTTGCTGTACACTCGCGGCCTGTTTCGGCATCCAGGGGACGTTTTTCCGTTTCCTGCTCGTGATGATGTAGAAGACACTGGCCTCGAGATCATTTGGGCCAATGACCGTTCTTCGAAATCGCTCAGAATCTCTGGACACATATTCATGGACGGTTCTTGTGTTGCGCACACGGTCAAAGAACTCTCCAGGGCTGGGTGGGGGATAGTGATGGTAGGTGACGACGGTAATGAAATCTGTCGCATTAGTTGTCCCCTGTGGGCCCCCAACCTCCAGACTGCCCAAGGGGGAGAGTTTGGGGCCTACGCTGTTGCTGCAATGCATGCTATGCCAGGCAGCTCGATATACTCTGATAGTAAGAATGTGGTTGTTCAAGCCAACGAGCCGCTGCTCAGGGCCCTGTCCTACCAGCGCGTGCACTCTGGGTTTTTACTCCCCACCCACCGCAAGCTTTTAGAGGGGGGTTTTAAGATCAAGGCACATGTTGAATAATCCAGCGGCCTAACCCAGCTTGAGCGCTTCTGGAAGCAAGGTAACGACCTCGCTGGTGTTGTTGCCAAAAGCTCGCTTGCCCGCCAGCCACAACCCGACCCCGAGGATGTGGAATGGCTTGAGCGATGCCTCTCGGTTGCACAGTGTGTCATGCGTCTTTCGGCCGAGCTGATGCCAGAATGGCCTCGGCTCAACCTGACAGGAGTCCCGCTTGTGCCCAAGCCCCCCAGGCCAAAAGATGAACCGAGGCCCACCAGTGGACTCGTGTTTCATCGTTTTGGCAGTGCATTGAATGTCTCAAGGTCGCCAAGGGCGTGCCGCGGAAGAACCCTGATGGTTCTCGGCTTGGAGGTCTGGACCCGCCAGCCCCTGGGAAGTGCCGTCGAGATTCCAAGCTGACTTCCGCGGTGCTTTCAGCCCTCAGGCACAACTGCATTGCTTTGCTATGCTCCGATGGTGCCGCTTTCACTATTTGTATGCGATGCTATGCCTATTCCTCCCACAGGCAGCCTCGCAATTTGCTTAGACTGTGCGATGGTCAACCTCAGAGTGCGGGCGCAAAGTCCGCCTGGAGTTCTGTGAGGGCAGGCCGCCATCCCAAGCGCAAAGGTATTTCAGTTGAGGTCGGCCCCTGGTACGAAGACCTAGAGCATGAGGAGCTGCCACGGCGCCTCACCGACCAAGAACGGGAGTTGCGGACTGCTGAGCTGGTGCGAAGACTGGTCACCGCTGCCGGGGGGACACCAGTGCCAGCCGATGTGGAGCTGGAGGTGGATCCTCCCTTGCCAGTTCCACCACAGGGGCAGCAGCGTGATAGAGTCGTCGACCCGTCGTCTGAGTCGTCTTGTACCATCGCCAACGCTGTTGGCCCCTCATATATCCCTCTTGATCCGCTCGATGCGGAAGAGGAAGCCGCCTGTTTTTTGTTTGACACGCCTGATGAGAGTTCTCAACAGGCTGTGCAGCAAGTGTCCGAGCCAGCCTCTTCGGGTGCTGCGCCAGGCCGAGCCCGAGCAGCCCTCGCCCTTGAAGAGGACGAGGCCCCGCTCGTCGCCGTCGCTGCACCACAGTCTGATGACTCAGACTAGGAGATGCAGCATGCGCTCCCCGCGTGTGGTGCGTCTCGCCCTGACCTCATTCTTCTCTGGTCGCGGGCCTTGGGGGGCAGGCGGTGAGCCACAGGGGATCCTCCCTTCCTGCGGGAAATCGCCCCGTGGCTTTCGCGCCTGCCGTCCTTGATTCTTTTGACTGCTCGCTAGCCTGCTTCAGGCCAGATAGCAGGAGGCGACGCCCTCTGGTCGTCGCCTTTGGTTGCCACGGTTGATGTCAATCCGCCTACCCCCTTCGCCACCTCCTCCTTCCCCTCCTCGATCCTCCTCCTGGTGGCCCGTCGTGAGCCCGTCGTGGCCGTCGCCGCCGTGGCCGCCGCGGCGGGTTGGAGGCCGAGGTCGCCGCCCTCGCGGCGGCCGCCCTCGCGACGGACGCGGTGGCGGCGACAGGCGTCGCCGCGGGAGCCTCGCGGGGGGTCGTTTTTGGGGGGCTGGCGGCTTCCTCCTCCTCCTCCTCCTCCTCCTCCTCCTCCTCCTCCTCCTCCTGCTGCTCCTCTTCCTCCTCCTCCTCCTCCTCCTCCTGCTGATCCGCCTCCTCCCCCTCCTCCTCCTTTTTACGTTGGCCAGACATGAAGTTGCGTGCTTGTTGCGTCATGAAACGACTGCAGGGCAGAGAGGCAGGCCTGACCAAGCAGTAGTCAGAAATTTGACCAGCGGATCAGAGACAATGCGAGCAATGAGTTGAGCATCCAGGGTACGCTGTATGGCCATGTACGGAAGGACCCCCTGGGATGTCAGAAGTATCCAGGGGAAAGGTGCCCTCGACGACCGTCCTGCGTCGCACCCACCGCCATGGCATGCCTCACCTCCAAAACATCCCATTAAGCTCCTCTAGAACCTCGACGAAGGCAAGTGCTTGGAAGCGCACGCGGCTGGCCAACCACGCGAAGACAAGCTCAAGCGCAAGCCGAGCCCTCCCTTCCACCAACCTCCTCTCCTCTCCATTACATCCTCCCCCATAGTGCCCTCAGAGATCGTCCCAGACAAGTCAAGCTCATGCTTGGGTCTACCGCTGGCGGTCGACGCGCCAGGATTATAACGTTTGCGGTCGACGCGCTCCTCAAATCGCAAATCCCCCCCGACACCCTCAAATTGCAGTGCCCCTTGACCATGCCCCCATGTCCCTTCCAAACAAGGGCTCGCACCGAGGGCACGACTGCCCTGTACGAGGGCTGATGCTGGTGGGCCAATATACCGATGCCCATGCGAGAAAGCATCGCAGCCTTCACCGAGGGCTGAGCAGCAAAGTGTTGCTGCGGGTAAGTGAAATTAACTTGAAGCGTTACCTGCGCACGTGCAACTGAAAGCCCTCCTCCTCCTCCTTCATCTCATCATCGTTGACAGGCCTCCGCCCCCAACATTCCGAAGTAAAGATAGCCGGCACTACCCACAATTGTGTGCAGTCGGTGGCTCCCCATGGCTGCTCGCGTCGCGTGCGCGCAGGATGAAAACTTCGCGTGGCGTCTGAATCAAAAAAACTGCAGACCAAAGAGATCAACGAATAACAAATCCAGATTAAGTCAAAACCAATCTTAGTCAGTATGACATCCCCCACAACATCCATCCTCACCAATCCCACCACCCACCACCCACCAACATCCCGAACTCAAGATAACCGGCACTCCCGCCCATGTGTGCTCAGTATCGCGTGAACGCAGGAGGATAAAACTTCACGTGGCATCTGAATCCGAAAGGCTGTCGAACCAATCACCAAATTCAAAATCTGTATTAACTCAAACGTCGGTATTAGTCCGTGTCAAGGACATCCCCCATAAAATCAACAGAGGCACTGCCAAAACAAGCACTACAGCCGATATCCTTCCCTTGCTGCTTGGTCGCGCTTGTACGCGCGAGGCTGACTGCTTCGCGTGGCTTCAACCTCCTCCTTCTCCTCCTCCTCCTCCTCCTCCTCCTTCAGCTCTTCCTCCTCCTCCTCCTCCTGCTCCTCTTCCTCCTCCTCCTCCTCCTCCTCCTGTTCCTCCTCCTCCTCCTCCTCCTCCTCCTCCTCCTCCTCCCCTACTAGTACTACTACTCTCCCTCTCATCCTCTTCCTCCTCCTCCTCCTGCTCCTCCTCCTTCCCCCTCCTCCACCTCCTCCTCCTCCTCTCCTCCCCTCCTCCTCCTCCTCCTCTCCTCCTCCTCCTCCTCTCCTCCTCTCCTCCTCCTCTCCTCCTCCTTCATCGCCTCAACCTATTCAACTCCACATCCTCCCTCCTCCACCTCCACCTTGCCCTCCACCTCGACGGACATTCGGTGGCCCTGCATCCTGCTCATCCACATCCTCCTTCATCTCCTTCTGCTCCTCATCTTACCCCTTGTCCTCCACCTCCTCCTCCACCTCTTAGTTACCCCATCCACCTCCTGCTCCTCCTCCTCCTCCTCCTCCTCCTCCTCCTCCTCCTCCTCCTCCTCCTCCTCCTCCTCCTCCTCCTCCTCCTCCTCCTCCTTCTCCTCCTCCTCCTCCTCCTCCTCGTCCTCCCTTTCCACCTCCACGACCCCCTGTTCCTCCGGCGGCGAGCACGGGTCTTACGCGCCCAGGGCCTAGAGCCCTTTGATCGGGAGCCGGCGCACTCTCTCCTCCTCCTCCTCTTTTTCCTCTTCCTCCTCCTCCTCCTCCTCCTCCTCCTCCTCCTCCTCCTCCTCCTCCTCCTCCTCCTTCTCCTACTCCCCCTCTCTCGCCTTCTCCCCCTCCTTCTCCCCCTCATCATCCGAGTTGTCCTCCTCCTCCTTTTCCGCCTATTCCTCTTCCTTTTCCTCTTCCTCCTCACGATCCTTCGTTAAGGGTTCCACTGGAGCGTACACTGTTTCGCCAGATGCGTTCGGAAACCCGTGGATCAACACCGAATGAATTTGGAGATGCATCGATGTACCTCGATTGACCTAGGCTTGTCTGGCCTTATCCCCGCGGGTCGATTAGGGAAGAGTCGTCAAGCCCTTCGGGAACGAGACCCTCATTGCAGGGACCGCCGGTAAAAATAACAACTCCATGTACAGAACCCTTCTGAGGCCCACGCATTTTTTGGGGTGGGGGTACCGCCTCATCAAAGCCCCCAACAGGTTCCTGCGCAACCAAACTGGGCCCACCCACGCACAGCTCAATGTGCATCGACCGGGCTGTACAAGCAACGTCTCGGCCAAAATGGTGCTATAACGGGCTCGACGAAAATGCGGGAGAAGCCGGCCGCGAGGTTAGCACAGGCACTGACAAGAGGGGCCGGTGCAGAGGAACAAGAGGGGCTACGCAACGCAAGCAGCAAAGGGCCAGTGATGCGCGAACGAGGAGCCCAAGACAGGAGGGGGGAGATACAGGAAAATGCGGATATGCAAATATAGCGGGCGACCCTAGAAGCCTTCAGGACCACGGCTCGACGACACCGAAGACGTCGAGTCCAGAACATAGATATGCATGTATCAAAGCTAGGAGGAGAAGAGCACCATGACATCATAGACGTAAAGCAGGGGGCGAAGAGGAGCGGGACGAGAAATATCCGACCTCGAAAACATCACCGAAGCCCACTTGCAACAAGAACGACGGCACCTCCTTGGCGATGCGGTAGACCCGCTCTTGGGAGCGGGCAGCAGCGAGACACCCCTCGCGGCCCGGTCTCGAAAACCTCGCCGAAGCCCACCAGCAGCATGGGCGACGACGCCGCCTCGGCGATGCGGTAGACCCTGGGAGCGAGCAACAGCGAAAGCCCTCGCGGCCCCGTCTCAGTCGTACTATGCGATGCCGCGCTCCCTCACGGCCTGCGCCGCCATGGCACAAGCCACGCCGAGAACGCACCAGGGCGCGGCCCGCCGCTCTGCACCGTGCGCCTGATACTCAGCCGCAGTCTTCACCAGGCGCGCGTGGATGGCTGGCAACGTGAAGCCGCCCTCCTCATGCCAACGCCTCATCGCCAGCACCAAGATGCACTCGAGGCTGCGCGCGCCGGCGGCGGCCGTTTTGCCGGGTGCCTGGGAGCTCTGCGGCAAGCTGCTCTGCTCGACTCGCCCGATGCCGGCCTGGTAGCCTGGTTGCCCCACGGGCTCGAACATCCAGTTGCCCTGCGCGTCACCGCCCTTCGCGCCGTCGCTCATCGCGGCATCCCTGCGCCGTAGTTCCCGTCGCGGGCGAGGAGGCCAAGGGGGCCAGTGACCTCCCCAACGCTGCCGGCGAGGCCCCAAGGTCACCAGTCGACCGAGGAGGCCCACTGCGGCGGTGACCTTTCTGGCGATGTTGAAGAAGTCCCAAGGGCACTAGACACCAGGGTATCGCTCTCCTCCCCGATCGCGCCGTCGTCGTGGACCTTGATCTCGTTGAAGTCGATCTGGATGGCGTCGTTCTGTCCGTCGTCAGTGGGGAGGCCATCGGGGCTGGCGACCTCCCCGACGCTGCCGGGGACGCCCAAGGGCCACCGGGCACCGGCGTGCCAACCGAGGAGTCTCCGCCCGACAATGACCTTCCTGGCCCTGCAGACGAGGGCCCGAGGTCACCGTGCGCCGGCGTATCACACTCCCCCCCAATCGCGACGTCGGCATTGACCTTGAAATCGGCGCCGTCGTGGCGTTCGATGCTCGCCTGGATGTTCTGCGGCGCGGCGCGCTTCAAGAGTGTCTTGACATCCTGCGATTCGGCGAGTTCGAAAGGTGCAAGGCTGCCCAGCGGCGCGTCACTCTCGATGTATCGCCGCGCCCGCCACCGCCACCAGCGGCTGAGCCGCCCCCCCGATTACTGGGCTTGCCCGCTCCCGAGCTATCCTGCGCCGCCAGCCACTGCGCAGGACGTGAGCTCGCTCGCTCGGGAGCTTGCGAACTGGGCTGCCCCTCCCTGGGGAACGAGCTGGAATCGGGAGTGGTGGCAGAGAGCAGCTTGCCTTGGCCTGTCGCGACGTGGATGGGGTTGCCCGGAAACTCGACGGGGTCGCCCATCAGCCCGACTCGCTCGACGCGGCCCGTGTAGCCCAGCGGCTCGTCGTCCTGGATTGGAGGCTGGCTGGCCACTGGCGCGGAACTCGCTGCCGTGCCCGAGGGCGCGGCGGCTCTGCATCTCGTGACCCGGCTCGAGGGCGCGGTGGCCCCGCGCTGCGCCCCTCTCGACGCGGCCGTCGTCCCCGATGGAGTCGCCGCCCCGCTCGAGCTCGAAGCGGCCCCCGTCGAACTCCGAGGTGGCAAGGTCCGAGTCCGAGATGATCTCCGCAGGGTCGAAGCCAGAGGCCGCGATGCCGATTTCGATCTCAGGCGCCTGCCCTGGCCTGTTCGCCGCGAACGGCTGCCGCGAGCTCACGATGCCGAGCGGCTGCAACAGGTCCCGCCACCAGGCCTCGAGAGCATCCCAATCCGCAGGCAATGGAAGATCGTCATCCTCTTCCTCGATTCTATAGTATGCTAAGCCAGCCGCTCGAGGAGTCTCGGCGTGCTTGAGGATGTCGTCGCACCGCCGGCCCGCTACGCCATCGTGGACCTCTTGGCCTCGCGCCGCGCCTCTCGCATCCTTCGCGCCTCGCGCAACGGGCTCGGTGAAGAGGGCAATCGCCTGCGCGTGCGGCGCGGCCTGCCGGGCGGAGTCCGGGCGACGCGCGCTGGCGGCCCCGCCCGCCCCGACACTGCCGCGGGCACCACTGCCTCCTCCGGGCGGGCGCGCGGGCGCTGCCATCGCGAAAGTCTTGTCACGGGCGTTTCCGCGGCAGGCGGTGCCGCCGCCGGGGCTGCCTCCTCGACCGCTGTGGAGCCACGCCAGCTCGAGCTCCTGCTCGTCGAAAGCGCCCAGCGCCCAGGCGCGCGCGCGACCTCCGAGGCCGCGCGCGCCCGCGGGAGGAGCAGCGGCCACCTCTCTCTCGGTTCCTCCTCAATCGCCAGCGGAAGCGGCTGAGGCGCACTGCTCGGCCGCAGCCTTGGCGCGCAGCTTGGCCTCAGCTGCATCCGTGGCTCGCCCCAAGCGGGCCGCCGACGCCGCGGCAGCGGCTGCGCCTGCAGCGCCCCCGCCACCGCCGCGGAGACGAAAGGCCGCGGCATCTCTGGGAGCCACGCTCTGCCGCCGCCGGACGCGTTTTGGCATTCCATCGCCTGCAGAGGCGGCAACGGGAGGGGGAACAGGGCCGCCCTGACTGGGCCGCCGTGGGTCAAGCTTCGCGCTCGAACTGCTGCCTCGAGCCCTGAAGCCCAGGGCCTACCCTGGACTGCACTCTCGAGCCAGGAGACCCACGCAAATTGATTGGCACTCAGCTGGAGCCCCCTCCGCCGGCGAGCAGGACTCGCTGGGGGCAGCGTCGAAGGCGCCACCCGGGGGGCACGGCGCCGACCCCAGAAATCAACGCGCGAACCTCCGAGAGTGTTTCTGCAATCTTATCTTCTTCGAGACGAAAGAAGGCGCCAACCGTACACCTTACGCCAAGCTGTTCTATCACTACTCCTTGTTGATACACCCCCCTGCCCCACCCACACTCCCACCCCCCACCACCCCCCACCCCCAACATCCCAAGCAAAAAACAACAAGCAGTGCAGGTTACACCGAGAATCTGGATCATGCGCGGACGCCCCGCGTTCACTCTCCGCCGGTTCTGACAAGCACGGCAGAGGCGCCGACAAATTGCCTGCTGCGTACAAGGCCGACACCGCGACACCCTCCCCCCACCACCTCTTGCAAACAAAAACAATGCAATGCACGTTGCACCACAAATCTGGGTCATACACGGGCGCCCCACGATCAGTTTGAATTGGTCTCTGACAGGGGCGGCGGGATTGCCTGCATGTTGCCTGATTGATCCCTAGCACTTCCCTCGCTCCTTCCGCCAGCTTCCACTTGCCCCCTTCATGCACTCGAAGTTGCTTGCTTCTCACCTTGCTAGCCATCATGTTTTGGCTCGCAGGGCCCTTGGTCAGTTGGGCTACGCACTCACCAGGAGTTGACAGCAAAAGAACTGTCAGCGATTATCCCAGTGCGACCGTACCTAGGAGTTGGAACCCCTAGGCAAGCAGCATTAGTAGTAACAGTAACGCTACGCTAAAGCTAAGCTAAAGCTAAGTTAAAGCTAAGCTAAAGCTAAACCACGGCTAAGCTAAAACTAAGCTAAAGCTAAGCTAAAGCTAAGCTAAAGCTAAGCTAAAGCTGAGCAAAAGCTGAGCTAAAGCTCAGCTAAAGCTAAGCTACAGCTCAGCTACAGCTAAGCTAAAGCTAAGCTAAAGATAAGCTAAAGCTAAGCTACAGCTAAGCTACAGCTAAGCTAAAGCTAAGCTAAAGCTAAGCTAAAGCTAAGCTAAACGCTAAGCGAAAAGCTAAGCGAAACGCTAAGCGAAACGCTAAGCGAAACGCTAAGCTACAGCTAAGCTAAAGCTAAGCTAAAGCTAAAGCTAAGCTAAAGCTAAGCTAAAGCTAAAGCTAAAGCTCCCAGGGGACTGGGGGGAACCGCGGGGCGGGGACTGGGGGAACCGCCCGGGGCGCTTTCCACTGCCCGGCCCCTTTAAGCTAAGAGAGTAAGAACCCTTCTAAGCAGAGCCCAGGTAGGGAATAATCCCCCATATCACAGCGGTAGCTTGGAGCGCGCTCAGATGCCAGGCGCGCGGCGCCTTTCATATCCACGCCCTTCGGGGCCCAGCTTTCGCCACGACGACGCCGTCGAGGACGAGAACGGAATCGAGGGCCGGCGTCCTCCTGCTGCTGCTGCAGCTCGTGAGCGTCAGCGACGCCAAGCCCTACTACCTGCCCTACTCCGCCAGCGTCAGCAACGCCAGCAACTCCTGGTACCTGCCCTACCTGAGCAGCGTCAGCGACGCAGCCAACTCCTACGACCTGCCCTACCAGAGCAGCGTCAGGGACGCAGCCAACTCCTACTACCAGCGCGGCGTCAGCGACGTAGCCAAGCTCTGCTACTCCCCTACCTCTCGAACTTTAGCGAGGCCGCCAAGTTCAATTTCAGATGTTCCCCGAACGTCAGCGACGCCATTGAGTTCGATTTCTCGTCCTCTCAGAACACCAAATGGCGCCCTCAATTTCAATTTCACGACCCGATTTCCCCGAGAAATTCGATTCCATTACAACGGCGACGGACAGCGACATCGAGTCCGACACTTCCTTCTTGATAATATCAGCACGCTCGACAAGATGGCGGACAACAATTTCCCGCAGCAGTCTCTAATACCGAGCTGGAACGGCGATCCAGCGAAGTGGCGGGACTACAATCAAGAAGTCAAGCTCTGGGAGCTCAGCGAGAACCCGGAGGCGAATCAATGCCTGGCACCAAAGCTGGTGCTCAGGCTCACGGGATGGGCGCGCACTTGCGCCATCAACATGGACCCTGAGAAGCTTCACACTCAGCCAGATGACGAGCTGGAGGAAGCTAACGAGAAGAAGCGAGACAGGAACGCGAAGGGCATCGCCAACGTTCTACGCGACCTGCAGGAGAGCCCAGGTCAGCAGAAACTTGTACAGAAGGGCGAGACGCTCGAGTTCTTCGAGTCGACAGCTCACCACCGACGCCGTGGCGAGCGCATGACAAACTGGCTAGTCAGATTCGACGCGGGCATGCGACAGCTACGCAAAAATAGAGTCGACCTCAGCGAGCTCGACGACGTTGCAGGATGGTTCTTGCTGCGCAAGGCCGGCCTGAATGCCGATCGACACGAGCGAGTCGTAGACAATCTACCAGACGAGCACTACGGATTCCAACGCCACAAGGGCCCGTTGGTGCGCACGTTCCCGGACATCCACGTCCAGGAGAGGTCGCAGCAGCAGCCGCCTCGACCCTGGAGCAGTCAACCACGATCCTCGCGGCAGCGCCCGAGGGCATCAGGTCGAGCTCGCTCGGCCAACGTGATGGACGAGGCGGACGAGGAGGACGTCGACCAGGAAGACGACGAGGACGAGGTCCCAGAGGGCGACGTCCAGGATATGGCGCGACACGAGCTCGAGGCCTTCAGCGCCGAGCTCGAAGCCTCTGGCGTGGACGTGTCGGAGGCGTTTGATAACGACGACTCTGCCGAGGTCGAGGCCGCCGCAGCAGAGCTCGCAGCTGTTCCGGAAGCCATGGCCACTATCAGATCGGCACGCGATGCCATCAAGGGCCGCGGGAGCCCCGAAGCGAAAGACAGCGAGCAAGACCATTAACTCCTGCGTCGACCAGTGGAAGAAGAATACCAAGTGCTGGAACTGCGGTGAGTCTGGCCACTGGACAGGCGATTCGGTGCGCCCGACGCCTGGCGCTCGCAAGTTCGCGCCGAAGGACAAGTCTGGCGCAATGTCCAAGCAAGGGCGATCGCACTGCTCGGTGAAAATTACGGAGCTTAGCGGTCCAGAGGGGGAAGTCCAGTTTCATCCAGAAGGGGCGGTCACCCCGCCCAACGAGGACGCGCTCCCGCAGACGCGCCTGTCGGAGAGGGCGACCCCCGACCTGCCCAACGTCAACCAGACGAACGCCGGCAAGCAGATCAATGACCACGGTATTGGCGCGTTGGACACGGCGTGCCACTTCTGCGTGGCCGGCCAGTCCTGGCGCGACGATTACGAGAAGATGCCCAAGAAGATGGGCCTGGACGAGCAGATCCTGGGGGAGCCCGAGAACGAGACCTACAGGTTCGGCAACGGAGGCACTCTGCCCAGCAAGCTTCGCGCGACTGCGCCGCTCGCGCAGCGCGGCCGCGCGGGCGGGATCGCGTTCGGCGCCGTGGACGCCCGGCCTGCCACTCGGCAGGGACTGCACCCTCCCCTCCAAGATCGACACTTCGCTCTGGAAGGGCCACATTCTCGCATGGGTGGACATTCCCCCAGAAGCCGGCCACGAGTGGCGCGGGGGACCCCGCGATCGAGCTGCAGCCTGAAGAGTGGCAGGCTACCAAGGCAGCCGAGAACGAGTTCGGCCGGGCCAAGGACATCGAGAAGGCCTGGGAGCCGAACGCAAACGCGACCGAGAAGAAGCCGAGCTTGGTGGGCACGACCCATAAGCTGATCCCGCCGAAGGAGATCGATGTCCCCAAGCGGCTCCAGACCCGCAAGGTCAAAGAATCGTGCCTTATGGGCGCAATCGCATCTGCCTTGGCATGCTGCCCAGGCACTACGCCATCTGTGTCGCTTACTTTGGCTTCATCTTCAGCTGCCCTGTCAGCATGCGGGACTACATTCGCAGCGACCCCAGAGTTGCCGACGACGTGCCAGATAGAGCTGTCGAACGTCACAGAATGCTACTCCTGTGGCGAACGCGTCGGTCAAGCATGCTGCCACCTGGGGTTCTGCGCGGACTGCGCGTTTGGAACCTCGGTGGACCTCCACGTGCCGAACGACTCCAAGCAGAAGGAGGTCACATCGTGGAGGAGGAGCAAATGCAGGTGAAAAACTCAAGAGGGGTTCGAAACCGCTACTCCTCGCGGGGAAGCGAGCGGCACTCGTCATCGGGCGAAACAGTGTCGTGCCACACCAAGTCGGCCAGGCCATACGTGTCGACCT